GCCAGCTTCCAAACACCCTGATAATGAGAATATTCTAGTAACTGTAGCACACTCACTAATAACTTCATGATTTCCATTGACACATTGCATTTCAGGTTTCTTAGTTAACCTAACAATGTGCTTTGGATTTCCCCTCCAATTTGGATCAGGTATTGCCTTTAGTTGTCATGTCTATTTAACATCCTTTAACCTGAATCATTGTGTCTTAGTCCATTCAGGCTACTATAACAAAAATACCATAGACTGGGGGGCTTATAAACAACAGAAATTCAATTCCCACAGTTCTGGGGGCTGGGACGTCCAAGATCAAGTTGCTGACCGATTCAGATCTGGTGAGAGCTCTCTTCCTGGTTGCAGATGGCTGGTTGTCTTCTCGCTGTTCTTACATGGCAGAAGGGGCAAGGGAGCTCTCTGGGTCTCTTTTATGAGCACTAATGCCCTTCATGAGGACACCATCCTCATGACCTAATGACCTCCCAAAGGTGCCATCTCCAAATACCATCACATAGGATAGTTAGGATTTAACATATGAATTTGGGGGGACATATTCAGTCTACAGCACATTCCCACAGCTTTTCTTTGTCTTTGATACGGATATTTTTGAAAAAGACAGCCCTTCACCCTTTGTTAATAGAAAATTTCTCATTTTGTGTTTCTTTGACATTTCTTTTGGATTAAATTGAGGTTATATGTACATTCTTAGCTGGACAGCCTAGATGATGTTTAATTCTGGTCAGCTGGTGAAGGCATTGGATGATTCCCCCTCTGTCTTATTACTGGTTTTTGTATTTTTTTTACTCCCACACAACTAGTAAAGAGTCAGTGGGGAGATACTTTAAGACCATTCAAATATCCTGCTATTCATCTAAATTTTCCCTGGATTTAGTATCCATTGATAATTCTTGCCTACTCCAATTTATACTATGATGGTTGCAAAATGATGATTTTCCAACTGTTTTTTTTTTCACTTTGTTTTTCCTCCCCCGCCTGATGGCATACTTATGTAGTACAATTCCATTGACTCCATTCCCACACTCTACTCCATGTCCCGTGACTATATGTATATGTAATTATAGTTGACATACAATATTATTCAACATCAGCTTCAGAAATACAGTGCGGTGGTCAGGCCTCTACACCGACTATGAAGAGGTCTCCCTAAAAAGACATGAGTCCATCTGGCCCCCTAAAAAATATTTACAATATTATTGATTATATTCCCAGACTGTCTTTTCTATCCCTGAGGCCATTTTTTAGTTACCAATTTGTATTGTCTCATCCCTTTCCCTTCTCCTTCATCCCCACCTTCTCCCAACTAGCAACCCTCAGTTTTTCCTCTGTGTCTCTGAGACTACTTCTGTTTACATTTCTCATTTATTCACTTTTCTAGATTCCACATATAAGTGAGATCATATGGTATTTGTCTTTCTCTGACTGACTTATTTCACTTAGCATAATGTTCTCTAGTTCCATCC